AAATAAGAGGGAAAAACCAGTCTCAAGGCACATAAATAGATTTCTTCCCTCAGAGCTTCTCAGAAGATCCTTTAGTATGTTAATTTGTATCAGAAGTCCCCAAGATAGAAACACTGGATGTTGGTTTCCCAAACTTGATTACTCTCAAAATTCAGGGCAGATCTTGCTCGATGGTGTTCTTGGCCTACCAATTGGGCAGCACCACCCAGGGCACCGCAGAGCTACCTAGATGTGACCATGGGGGACGTGGCTTGGGCTTGGTATCAATTACTTGGGTTTCTTCTCAGCAGGGATGTGGCTCATGATAAACACACCCTATATAGCTGTGAGCAGGCCAGTTGACTCCCTTCAGCATCTCAGACATGCCTAGGAGGGCCAGAATGGAGCTCCGACTCCTCTAAGGCTGTGCTGCCAATTCTGTACCCAGGAACATTCTGGGTATCATTACTTGCCCCCAGAGCTGGAAGTGACTAGAACAGGGCCCCACCCTCCTCCAGTTTCTAGGGTGTCAGAGCAACATTAACGCCCTTTTTTTTACTACTTTTTAAGGGTCGGATTCCAGTCAAATGGATGGCAATTGAGTCCCTTTTCGATCATATCTACACCACCCAAAGTGATGTGTAAGTGTGGATATTGCCTTCTCGGTTTGGAGGGTACATGTGAAGGGGGCCATGACACCTGTCTGGGCAGCTCAGCTGGGAGCAGTGCTGGCCCAGAGTGCCTGTCAGCTCATGCCAACCATCCAAAGTGACCCCCCCCAGCTGAAGTGTGTTTATTTAGCAAATGACGAGGGCCCAGGCTGTAGTCGAAGTGGCATTTATGAGAACAGTGAGCAGTGGCTGCAAATCCCCCTCCACTCCCCTCTCTTTCCTCCCCACCCTCCTCTCCCCTCCCTTCTCTGGGAGTCTTAGTGACACATAGTTCCAGCCAAGCAGTTCCCCTCCTGTGGGCCAGAGCAAGACTGGGCTCAGACAGGGGCCCTGGAACTAGTCCCCACCCACAGACATGAGTGGCCTTGAGTGAGTTCTAGGCTGGTGTGCCCCAAACTGCTCAAAAACAGGAACCGAAACTCAATCTTTTAGGTCAACTTATAGACTTGATAGTTTTCAAAAACACAACAGACTTGTTTCTATGTTCTGCCATGAATATCTGGAATAATGTGGGCTGTGAAAGGGAGTTTTACAGTTTTAAACAACTTTTCTGAATATGGAATCTGACTGCAAGACAATTGGAAAATGCAGAAAAAAGCATAATAAAGAGACTAAAAGTCACTTGAATCCCACCACCCCTAAGTAACTACTACTGGCCTTCACAGGCATGGCCTTCTAGTGTTTTCTGTGGTGTACAGATAAATGCTTTTTATCGCTGTGCGTGGGCTCATGTAATAGTCCTGCTCTGTAATATAATGTTTCCACTTTGCAGTAAATTTTTTCTCACAGTTAAGTCATTTCCAATAGCAGTGCTTTTTTTCTTCTAAGACTTTAAGAAAATGTTTAAGCACATAGAAAAGGTGAAGGAAGTGTTTTGAGAGTTTGGGTCCCACCTGCATTTTACCTCATTTGCTGGACTGCTCTGGGCCATTGCTGCTAGGCCTGCCTGGTGCCCCTTGTGGGTGTTGGGGTTGAGCATCACAGTGAGGAAGAGGGGTGCTAGATGGGGCCAGCAAGACAGCTATCCCCACCTCCATCCCACATCTGTCTGTGCAGTGGGACCCAGGCTGAGACTTGTTCTCTGCACAGGGGTGGGGCGAGGGTGGTGGTGCTAGCCTTGATAGGTCAGCAGCTATTGGAGTGATGGATGTCTGGGCTGCCCAGTGAGCACTGTAGGTTGAGTGGGACCACTCTGGTTGTCTTGCTCCCTGTAGGTGGTCCTTTGGTGTCCTCCTGTGGGAGATTGTGACTTTGGGGGGCAACCCCTACCCAGGGATTCCTCCTGAGCGGCTCTTCAACCTTCTGAAGACAGGCTATCGGATGGAGAAGCCTGACAACTGCAGTGAGGAGATGTGAGTAGGCTTTGCTTTGGCCCAGCCTCTCCTCAATACAGACACCCTTGGTTAGGGAGGAGAGAGCACATACACTTAATCTCTCCCTGCTCCTAAGCAGTTCTGGGTGCCAGCCTTGGGTGAGCTGGATGGTGCATAGTAACAGGGCAGAACATGACAGAGCAGAAGTTGCAGAATCACCTTTTGGGCATGACGACATGGGGCCCCTGACACCACTGAGGGCTAGATGGGCTTCCTGGTGGGGCCTTCAGGGATGAAGGGGAGCAGGGCCCAAAGAGAAGTGGTGAGAAAGGCGAGATGGCACTTTATGCAGCCAGAACCGAAGTCACTTGGGTAGGGGCAGGTAATTCGGCATGGCTCAACGGGCACATATTGGAGTGTGTCCAAGTAGAGGCACAAAGGCAGCCAAGAGGTAGGCAGGGGGGCCTAGACTTCAGCCCAAGGGTACCAGTCTTCACATATAGAAGTTCTGTCAGATGATTCTCAGAGAACAAGTCAAGAACCCATGAGAAAGGGATATCTGCGTGCAGAGACATAGTGGTCTATTCATTCCACAGAGTTGGTGTGTGCCTGCCATGTGCCTTGTCTGGGCTAAAAGAGAGTGGCACCACCTCCCTGGCAGCCTGGGCAGCGATCCAGCTGGCCCAGAGTACTGTACACGGCAGCCCTGGAGGCCCTGCAGCCATGCCAGGGCCCCACAGAAGAGAGGAGTTGATAAAAATACAAGACAGAAGTGTGATTGGCAGAAGTTTTTATTTGTTTCCACACCCAGTTCATCTTTCATAAGAGTTTTAAGGACTAAAATTTCCCCCTCAGCCACCATAGTGGGCACAGCATCATGTTAGTTATTTACCATGTCCCTAAAAAGGATGTGAAAACAAATCTCTCTCAAGGGAAGGGAAACTTACAAGATGCTAGACCACAATGCCATGCACTCTGAGCCCCCAGTGGCCCTTCAGACCCTGGCCCAGCTCATAGAAGGTTGTCAGTTAAACAGAAACATCTTTGGGGTTTGGCAACACAGCCCACCAGGCCCTGGGCACTGTTGTGGCCATGACAGGGTAGTTCTTGCTGGGTTGTAACTGCCTGTCTGCACTTCCCACCAGGTACAGTCTGATGCTGCAGTGCTGGAAGGAGGAGCCAGACAAGAGGCCAGTGTTTGCTGACATCAGCAAAGACCTGGAGAAGATGATGGTTAAGAGAAGAGTAAGTACTTGGAGCAGATTCCTGGTACAGGCTGAACCTGATGGGGGCAGGTGCTGTTCCAGCCCAGCAGGTCCATGGAGGTCCTTGTGCAGTGGAGAGATGGTCATGCTGATCCCTGAGGGCACAGCACTCTTGGGCTTCTTTTTGAATTATGAAGAAACCAAGATTCTTAGCTTGACACTTGGGAAGATCTGCCAACCAGAGAGGTGCGTGAGGGAAGTATTCTGAAGCCAAACAAAAACAATTCCGATAACAGAACAGGAAAAAATAGAGTTGACACGAGTGTCCTAAATTCAGATGCTATGAGGGACCCAGCTGGGGTGGGAAGTGACTAGGAAGTGGCACACCAGTCCTCTCTAAAAGATCCCTCGTTGTAGCCACATGTGACCTACAGGAATATGAATGCCAGCATGCCAGCTCTTTTAGTAGTAAGGCGTATCTATGGTAAGTTTCCCAATTTTTAATGTTAGCAACTCATTTAAATTTCTAAAAGTGCATTCTAGGCCAAACAAAACATACCTGGGAGGCTAGATTCAGCCTGTGTGCTTCCAGTTTACCACTGTAAGAAAATGAGAATGTCAACAAAATTTTAACTAATATTTAGTGAACAATTGTTACATATCATATTCTGTCTTAGATCCTAAGGATGCAAGTGAACAAGCAGGCACAGACCCTGCCCTGCTGGTGTTTACATAGATGTTTCATCCTCACATTGACATATTTACCAAAAGTTGTAATTTTCTTAAACAAGAAAAGCAAGAGGCATAGTCTAGGCCATTTGTAATAAAATGCCAGTGTATCATTTGGGCAAAGCCTCCAAATTCTGTGAATGTAGGGTCATCCTAAACCAGGGTCCCCAATCCCTGGGCTGCCAACCGGTACCAGTTCGTGGCCTGTTAGGAACTGGGCTACACTACAAGGGTTGAGTGGCAAGCAAGTGAAGCTTCATCTATATTTGCAGCTGCTCCCCAGCACCGCCTCAGCTCCACCTCAGATCATCAGGCATTAGATTCTCACAGGAATACTGGTCCCTGGTGCCAAAAAGGTTAGGGACTGCTGCCCTAAACAAATGATAGCTACTGCCAAGAGATGACCTTCCTAGAATAGGGCTGAGAAGCAGCCAGGAAAATGCTAGGACTCTTCTTTACACATTTAAACAGGGCAGTGGAAATAGCAGGAACTGCAGAATCATCATTCTGCAGTTGAGAGCTGAAGCCTATGCAGCATCCTATGCAAAACTCATATCAATGACTCCAGATTTTGGAGTCCTGATGTGATGTTCTAGATGGCCTTGGAGGGAAGCTGGAAATATCCCGCAGGTGGGAGATACATCTTGGCACTCCTGTATGAGTAATGGGGCTGCAGCAAGCTCTCCCAGAGCCTCAAAGTTTACAAACAAGCCAGTCCCCCAGTGCTGGGCATGGTGCCCAATGCTGCAGAGATAGGAGCAGGACAGTGAAAGAGCACATTTCTGCCACCAAGGAGGTGACTTTCTAGGGGGGAGTGATGAGGGCCGTGGAACAGGGCCAGACAAGGCAGGTGCTGGGGGTGCTCAGTATTGGCAATCTGGTAAGGGGCTCAGGTATCTCAGAGAAGCCAGTAGGCTGGTGGGTGGAACATGGCCAGGGCTTCTGCCCTCAGGTGGGGAGGGTCCAGGGGCATGTCCAGTAGTGAGACACAGAGGGGGTGGGGGGTGTTGACCAGCCATCTCTCTCCTCCAGGACTACTTGGACCTGGCCGCATCCACCCCATCCGACTCCCTGCTTTATGATGATGGCCTCTCAGAGGAGGAGACGCCCCTGGTGGACTGTAATAATGCTCCCCTCCCTCGAGCCCTCCCCTCCACGTGGATTGAAAACAAACTCTATGGTAGAATTTCACATGCATTTACTAGATTCTAGCAACATTGTTCCTCTCTGAACTATCCTTACTCTCTGTAATGCTTTTTAAGAGTCTTTCTGGTCTGAATGAGACCAAAATCTGCTCTGAACCTTTTAATTTGTAAATGTCTGACTTTGCATCAGTTTACATTCAGGCATTTTTACAACTATGTTTTTTTTAAAGGATGTGAAAATAAGTTTAATTACCACACTGCCCAGCAAGTTAAGATGATAGAGAAGAAAGAGCAGGGCAGAACTCTCAGGGGATATTGAGAAAATGATGAATAAATCATTTCTGAGATGCGTATCAAGTCGTAGTACTTCTAACTTAACTACTGGCATAAATTTACCCAATCTCAGGGTGGGGCATTTAATTTAGAAAGAAAGAGCCAGCACCACCCTGCCTGCACTGAGAGCACAGCCAGTGGTCCCCTCAGACACCATCTGGGCAGGCAGGCAGCTCTTGGAGGCCACTCGGTACTGGGTGCCCAGCCATGTGTCCGCCCTTGGGGAGGACACACACAGACTGCTGTTTTCACATCCTTTGCATTACACACTGTCATAATGGTTGCCACTTAAGAAGTCAGTGCTAAAAGCTGGAGTAAATGCTTTTTGGAAGTTAGAAGTCTGTAGTGCTGTGGTCTTACAATGGACAGTAAATACGGTTCTTGCCAAAACTCCTTCTTTTGTCTTCAATTAAATACTTGAAGTTTTTTTTCTGTTTTCTAACTTCATTATTGATTTTATTTTTAACTTGGAGTTTCAAGCCAAGATTGTTCTTTTTGCATTCCTCCTGAGTCACTTGATTCCTTGCTGGATTTGGGTATAATGCTACATGCCATTTTGTCCTTTCGCCGCCATGGGACTCACCTGCGTGTGCCCTTGATCTGGAAGATCCTCTACTCCAGGGTAGACTTGGGTAGAAGACAGTAGGCTTCTTTATGTTAGAGAACTTTTTATAGAAGTTGCCTGCTGCAGTTAGCCATTTAGTACAGCAATGTGTTGATGGTTTATGCTGCCTTAGAAAGAGTTAAACAGATCAACAAATATATATCGGATATGAGAGTTTGAAGCTTATAAAAGTCAAAATTGGTAGGTTCTGTTAAGTTAGAGTAACCAAGAGAGCATGTGATATTTCCTCTTAAATGTGTGTTTTGGAAACCTGGAGCATGAAACCATTCATGTAACTGTCACAGAAACCAGAAGTTTGGTTTGAACCTCAAAGGGAGTTTTGCCAAGGCCTTACTGTCTGCACATGAAGTTTTGATTCTTCAGTGCAGAACAAATTATCTGTTTTCATTTTTAGGCATGTCAGACCCGAACTGGCCTGAAGAGAGTCCTGTACCACTCACGAGAGCCGATGGCACTAACACTGGGTGTCCAAGATATGCAAATGATAGTGTATATGCTAACTGGATGGTTTCACCCTCAGCGGCACAATTAATGGACTCGTTTGATAGTTAACTTTTCTTTGTGAAAGGTAACGGACTCACAAGGGGAGAAAACATGCCAAGACCATCCACTGGCCCCTCATTGCACCCTTCCCACTGGCTGGTGATTTTCTCTCCTAGCAGATGTAGCACACTGGATAGGAGTTCTGAGTCCAGTGTTTAGGTCCTTCCTTTCTCTTCAGCCCTCGGCAGCACCAGTGTTGGTCTGTGTTCGCCAGAGACCACTATACTCTGTGCTTACTCATGTGGGTCCTTCACTTACTACCTGAACTATTTGATTTTTCTGATTACCAATCACCAAACAAAGCAACAAGATTTAAACATGAAACACATATATATACACACACACACAGGCAGCAGGTGAAAAAACTATCCCAAACCACCTGTGCTTGTTGAGAAAAATGTGAGCCTAGCAAGACCTCATGGTGGTGTCAAAACCCTGTCAGAGCTGGAGTGGATGAGGGGACCGCGGGGACAGGCTCAGTATTCAAGACCCTGAGAATGATTTTTTAAAATTAAAAGAAAATCTTTTTCTTAGGAAGACATTTGATTTGTTATCATGATTAAAATGATTCCTAGATTTAGCACAATGGAGAGATTTGATGCCATATTTGCTGTGTAGACTGGCAATGTGAGGGAACAGGGCTCATAGATACATTTGCCCCATCAGTGAGTGGTCCCTACCCCCTGATAAAACAGTATGAAGAAAGGTGCGTTTAGTGCAGTGACCTGTAATCCAGGGATTGCTGACAGCAGAGACATGGCTGATGAGCACCCACCCCCCAGCCTTCAGTACACTGCATGTCCAGCACCAAAAAGCAGCACCTCATCTAGCACATTAGGAGTGAGTGGAAGGTTCAGCTTGTTATGTTAGCAGTAGCACTGACAATGACCAAGAACCACTACAATTACAATTCTGATATGGAAAAGACAATGTTTTGGCTCTTGTAGAGCTTGTGTGAAAAGGTACATGTATATACTCTTCCTATGTTTGTCACTTAATGCTGCTATAGCAAAACATTTTTGTTTTTTAGATTCTGACCATGACTCATAAGCTTCTTGTCATTCTTCCCTGGTTCTTTGTGGTCACAGACACTCTGCGCTCCTCCCATCTTGTGGGAGTGGGGTGGCTTTCGGAAAGTCCTGACAGCTCTTCTGTTTGTCTCAGTACTGTAATTTTACAGGAGAGAATTGGTTACCAAAACACTACTTGGTCTTCTGACATAAAGTACTGTGAAAGAACTTACAGTAGTCTCATTATAATACTGTATTTTATAGGCATTTCACAAAAGCAGTAAAATTATGGCTTTTTTGTGGCCAAGAAGGCTTGGCTGAGTATGTGTTGAAGCCTCGTGATGTGTGTATGCGTACGTATACACACCCAAAGAGAGAGCTGGGAAAACACTGGAGTTGTAACATGGCTGCAGTTGGGGGCCATTTTTCGGATACATTATGATTCATTCTAGTTGTGGTAAACTTTTGGTGTTCAGATGTGCTTAATGCTAATCTTATTAAATAAAGATAAACTCTCTCAAATTATTAAAAATGCCTACTCAGTAAGTGTGAGTTGCTACAGATTTGTTCTCAGCAGGTGAGAACCCCAAGTCTAAGTGGCTGACCTAGTGATAGGGAATTAACCATTGACTGATAATCAAATTGTCTAGTCCTGAGTAATGAAAATACTCATTCTTACTAGTCCTATCAGACAAAATTTTCATATGCATATATGCATAAGTTACTAAGTATTAAGTATTACTGAGTATTAAGTAGCAATCTGTCATTAAAATTTGTAAAGTCTATGAAAGGTTATTAAACCCATACCATATTAATTTGCTTTTGTAAATCAAGGTGACTAAGAAAATAATTTCAGTTATGTAAATAAAATCATGTATCGTAAAATGTGTAAATTTCTTTTCTCTATTTAACTCTCCAGTTGGAAACATCAGGTTTTTGAAGTTTTAATGCAAGAATTAAAATGTCACAAGGGAATCTATTGGGGTAACCACTGGGGAACTAACAGTGATTAAAAGACTAGGAGATTCTTGGTAGTATTATCAACTTGCCTTGAAGACGACATATGTGAACAGGCATATTTATAGTAATGTTAAAAACTGAGCTAGTTCTGCCATGCTAGGAATTCCTTCCTTCAGATTTTATTCCTGAGAATAGAGCAGCAGCCAATGTCAGGTTCAGGTGTTTGCTTGCTTCTTATTTCTTGAAGCTGGAGTTGGACAGTTGTGGGGAAAAGGCTGTAAAATGCATAGTCATGACTGAAAGTCCATTATAAGTTGAAGGAAAAAAATAAGGCCTGAACCATTACGAAGCTTAAAATACTAAATGCTTCTGTTTCTGTCCTCCTGTCAGATTGTATAGGAATTCTGAGTTCTTCCTCAAATGCCTGGCAAGGAGAAGGTGGGTCAGTAGGCAAACATGAGTTTTTACCAACATAAATCTGGTTCATGGTTGAATTGTGCATTGGATGATGAGGGCCTGTGTCATTTTCTGGGTGCATACATACATACATGCACACAGGCACGCATGTGCCTCACCCAGGGGCTGCCCAGGCCTGAGGTACTTCGGCACTCACATCTGCTCTCAGCTTCCTTCTTCAATCTGGACCACAGGGGCTAGAAATAAACCTAATATCTAGAGTCAGTTGTTTGCTACAGCCTTGACCTCTGAAGCAGTCTTGACAGCCTAGTAGAACCTGGTAAAATCTCCTCCCTCTTTAAGGAGCTAGGACTCATGAAGGATTATCTTAGCTGAGATGATAAGAAATCAGAATTTGTAGGTAGAGAAGCTTTCAGTTTGAGGCACCCTGCCACGTCATACAGATGAGGCTGGATGGGTGGCTGTCTAACAACTGGAAGAGTAAGCTTCACTCCTCAAGTTAAAGAGGCACACATGGTGAAAACCTGAAAGAAATCACAGTTAATCCTTGCAACTCAGATTTTGATTACTGTGTCGAGTTACAAGATATTTTTGCAGATGTTTCTGGGATGTGCTAAATCACAAGACTTGGCCAACTGAGATCTCTCAGTGGGGAACCATATAGGGAGGTCCTCTGTCTGTGGTGACTTCAGGCTGCAGGGCTTCAGCGTCACAGAGAATACACCAGGCAGCCTGAAGACCTGAGACTACCTCAACTACTGTGACTTCAGGAGCTCTGTCTCACACCAGGAAAAGACCATAATCCTGCATCCTTTCAGATGACGCTGGGCAATTCAAGTTCAAAATTCAAGTTCAAGTGCACAGGCAACGTAAAGAAAGTGCATTCTAAACCTTAGAAATATATATATTATCTTTTGAGAAGGAAGCCAGTTTAATGTTTTATAGAGCCAATATTTACCATGCAAACTGTCAAGTTCTTGAATAAAAATGAAAAGTCTATTTTAAGTGTCCATGTTTTTATTTATCTTTGTCGATTTTGTAAACAGTACCAGAGTAAACAATATCCTTTTTGGCTGCTCTTGTTTCTCACCTGCACTCCAGTCCTTTTCTGCACTTGTCATTTCCCTCACAGAGGAAAATCATTTCTATGGGAAGGGTCTAGCCCAGGAGAAGAAAGAACATAAGGCTGCCTCTTGCTACATGAGGCAAGAGACTTTGTCCAGAGGAATGCAGGGAGAACACGTGGTGCCTGTATCACATCCCCCTCTCCTGGGAGGCTTTTCTCACCGAGGTCATGTGACTTGCTCCATACTTTGTGCCTTCTGGGAGTTTTAAAGAGCTTAAAATAAAATTTTTCTAGAGGCACTGGCAACAGGGCCTGAGAATCTAAGAACATCTCAAGGGTTTGGAAGACTTCATGAGTGGGAAACAAAAAGAAAAGTTATAGGAAATGATTTTTAAGAATAGGAATGATACAGAGGAGGATTCTGGTCTCTAAAGACAATCATTGAAAGAAGTAAAAGAAGTGTTGTGGTAGGAAATTCTATCTTTTGAGAGAGATCAAATTATCTGTAATCTAGTTTTGCGGGAATAAAGACCACCCAAATGAGAACAAGCAGAAGCTATTTATTCTAAACTTGCTATAGCAAGAGACTCTGCCACTATCACTTATTTTTGGCAGAGACTCAAAAGGCTGGCAGAGAAGTGGGAAAGCTTGATGGGGAAAAAAGGTGTGGAGAGGCTCCAGGTGTGCTGTGATGAGAGGTTGGAATGGGGTAGCTGGAAGCAGGCTAACTAGAAATGGCATCTTACATGATTCATTTGGGAAACATATTTGGCTTTCTCAGGCTGGTTCTGACTTGGAGCAAAAAATAGGAAAGCTGACAGTCATTGACCAAGTCTTGACCATTCTGGGTTGATTACTGCAGAGATGGTGGGTCAGAGTTCTTCAGTAATGTGTGGTCGGTCTGCATATTCAATCTCTCAGTCCTTACTCTTAGCCATTTTCTTGCTTGGAGGTTGATACATTCAGGGAAGTAAAAAAAAAAAAAAAATCCAGATCTTCACCACTTAGAGATAGATTTATTCAGTGATCTCCATGGTCAACTGCATCATGAGATCTTCTTGACCTTGCTGTTGATCATCATGGTGATCATCTGATAAGAAAATGGCTGTGCAGAAGCATTTCAGACTCTGGATAGAATGCAGTGGACCAGTATTATGACCACTATGACAAAGATAAGAACAATTAATCCCTGTAAGATGCTTTGAACCAAGAACTCTAACCCAGGTCAAGAACAAGCCCTATATAGGCCATGAGGGACCACTTTAGAGAGCCAAATAGCTTTTGCCTTAAGGCATTGTATCACCTGTCCCATCTTCCCCATTTCATTGATCCAAGAACTGCGTTAGGAATGTCACAGACCATGACTAACCAATAAGAAATCCAGAGCAATGTCCATCACTGCTCATGCCAAAGAGCTGAGATTGATCTGCATTTCATCTAGGGAAGAGGTGGTACCACCAATGACTTCTGCCAGAGTTAGTGATAAGTTTATTACAATCCTAGATGTATAATTCTCACCAATGGGAATCTGCTATACAATGAGTCAGTAATTCCCCCAGAAAGAATGCTGAATAATCAAGGGTGGCTTTGTTTTGGAGCTCATGTCTGAATCAGAATTTTCAACCTTGATGATTTATAGAAATAATTCAGATTTATTAGTCTGTGTACAGACAAGTCTTAATACTATTTACATGCATGAGATGTTAGTCTGAAGCAAACAGGACCAGGCATCCTAACAAAAGTTATAATATCTGGCAGTGAAACATGGAGAGCTAGGAAAAGGAATCTGTTCATAAAAGGCCAGAGCCAAGCTTTCCATGAGCTGATTACATATTTGGACTTCTATTTATCCCTTACAAGCAGCAAGTATTTGGCTCATCACCCTATGATGGTTGTTAAATTCAAATTTAGAATTACTTGGGGTGTGATCGATAGACTAATAACTGGTTCTTTTTCTGGGAGAACAGGATACTAGCAAAGTCACAGGTTAACTTGTTTAAAGTCACTTGTCTATGTTGCTGCAAATGGATCTGCCATCAGCTATAATTCCCTATAATTCCCTCCTTTGATGAGACTGGAGTTTCCCAGAGGTTTTCATTGTGGGGGTTTGGTGATGGATAGCAAATTCAACAGTTGGTAAGATCTAGGGCAATGCCTACTGATTGGGATAACCTAACAATGGCATTAGAATTAGTATGTTCTGACCTAACAATTATATAAAGAGAGACAAGAGAGGAAAAGGGCCATTCCTGGTGGATGACAACCAGGGGGTTATGAGAAATAAGAAGAATGATTACATGCAAGCAGATAAAAAATAAAACAGGAATTAGGGGTCTTGGTCCAACATCTTGGGCCTAAGTTGTCTACTATCCTAGGTCATGTGTTTGTTTTACAGATCTTAAGTCAGCTGCTTTTAGATTGCCAAAAATCCTCAGTTTGATGCCCTAAAGTTTCATTTATGTGACATATTCAAATCTAAAACATTCAAATCCCATGAAGAGATAAAATCCATCTGAAGGTGTTCAAAGGGTCCTTGAGGTTTGGTTCCTGGCTATATCCCACCTTTAGTTTTTCCAGGCTTATGTTGTTGACTGGTGACATATGACCCAAAAATAACATCTAGTATCTTTAAAGCTTCTCCTCCAGCGATTTAAGCTGGTAATCGATTTGTACCTTATGAGTGGTTTCACAGAGAAATTTAGATAATATCTATTTGAACTCATCTGGTGCAAGCAACTATCTTGTGGCACCAGAGATTATCTAAATGAAGAGTACAGATTCCTCCCGCTCTCTTTTCAGAATCAGGGACTAAATGTTGATATTTTATAATGGGCTCTTTCAGTCCCTGCAGAGATTTATACTTTGAGGGTTTAGATAGGATCATAAACTTGGTTAAGGCTACTTGTTTGGCAGGATAATCTGTTAGGAGATTTCCTTTAGCTCAACATTGTCTCTTTTTGCATAGTTCTCAACCTTTATAATAGCCACCTCTTTCTGAGGCAGAGCGCATCTAAAAGTTGCTTAACTTGCTATGCATTTTTGTGGGAGTTCTGGTATCCCAAAGTGATGTTCTACTCCAAAATCATATTTGCTATCTGTATATATGTTTACTGTCTAGTCTTTGGCTAGTTGACAAGCTCTCTTAAATGCAATAGGTTCTGCCATCTGGGCTGATTTTACCGCAGGTAGAGGACTATATTCTAAAAGAGACTTTAAATTACTGATCGTATATGCTGTTTGATAACTTCCAGCTTTAGTTTTGAGGTGTGATCCATCAACAAACGGTATTAAGTCAGAGTTCTCAATAAGAGACTAAGAAATCTGAGTGAGATACAGAGAGTTCCCTAATTATTTGAGGTAGGATTATCACAAGGCTCCCCCCTTCTTCTGATAGGGGAAGGAGAGTGCAGAATTCAGGGTGTTGCAGCAGTGAAAAGTAATGTGAAAGGAAGAGAGTAATAGAATTTAATAAGAGGTTAAGCATTTAGCTGAAAAGTATTGTGTTCTCAGTCAATAGTAATGTCTGTCCTATAGGAAAAATCATGAGGCCAAGTGAGGAGCCTAGAACTAGCTCATCATTTGCCCTAAAAAAGGAGGAATAAGTCTTTGCTCCAGGTCAAGGGAAGGCTATTGTAAGCAATGGGTTTTTGGATGGTTCCCATGAAACTTCAAAGGTTGGTCCAGATCACTCATACATAAATAGACAAAGGTTTTTACGTTGTTATGGATGTCTAGGGAAGAAGGTCATTGAAGAGCTGCCTTCAGGTTTCAGAAGGTGGGCTTTCACAGGAGAGAACCTCTTTCTGAGAACTTAGTCAATACACAAAATGTCACAATCACAGAAAAATTTGTCTGCAATATATAGTTATACCTCAAATTCCTCTCAAATGTGATTTTGTGAGGGAGTCTAGGATAGATTTTGGTAGTTTTTAGTTTATCAGAAGGGAGTGCTTTTCCCCCTTTAGATGAGCCGTGCCCTAAATAATGGACTATGTTTTGGCAAAACTGTCATTATCTTTTGAAACTTTATGTCCCTTTTCTGCTAAGACAGTATAAGTGGAACCCTTTTTCTCTCAGCAAAGTAGGAGATGATCTACATATTGTGTCAGAACTGAATCACAAGAGAAATTTAGATCATTTAAGTCTTGATTAAATACCTAGAAAAAACAAGGAGCTTCAGTAAACCCCTGGGGCATGACTGTCCAGGAGGATTGTTATCTTTCCCCAATGAAGGTAAAAAGGTATTGACTGTCATTATTCAGCCTTAAAAAGGAATGAAATTCTGACATATACTATAACATGGATGAACCTTGAAAACTTGCTAAGTGAAATAAGCCAGACACACAGACAAATAACGTACACTTTCACTTGCATGAGGTACTTAAGAGTAGTGAATTCACAGAGACAAAAATTGAACAGTGGTTGCCAGGGGCTGGGGGAAGGGAAAGTGGAAAGTTAGTGTTTATTGAGGACAGAGTTTCTGTTTGGGATGATGAAAAAGTTCTGAAGTTGGATAGTGGTGATGGTTCCACAACAATATGAATGTACTTACTGAACTGTACACTTAAAAATGTTTAAAATGATAAGTTTTAGGTTATGTATATTTTACTATACATACACACAAAAAAAATTTCTATAAGCACACTGAAAAAAGTTGAGCAAAAGTTCACTACAGCAAGTGGCTTCAGCAAATGACTTGCAGGATAGTATTAGAGTTAGGAAATGAGGAATAACAATTTGTTTGTGGCCCTGCAGTCTTCAACAAATAGATGTCCCTATCCACTTGGTTTCTTTACTGCCAGGGAGGGTGTATTACAAGGGCTACTGCAGGGCATGAGAAGACCTTTGGATCTGAGGCTTCAACTATGAGTGTGATCCCTTCTTTTACTTTTGGCTTCAACAGATATTGGGGAAGTTTAGATAATGGTTGATAGGCTCTATCTGAATTTTAACAGGTTCTGCTCCAATTATTTTTCTGATATGTGTTGGGTACAGTGTCAAATACTTATCTGGGGTATGTTTCAAATATAATGGGGAAATCAAAGGTACATTCAGAGCATAATGAACTTGCTTATGGATAGAGGAGTCCTCTAGAATCTTACAAATAGTCCCAAATACTCTGGTGTACATTTAAAATTGCAAAGTTAGTCTCTCCATATTAAATTTGCAGGGGGGTATCACGGAGCTGGAAGGAATGTTTTTCAATCAAGGACTCCAGGCTTACAGTTAAAGGTTGGGAAAAACAAAATCTGTGGGTTATTCGAAATGCTTACTACCTGTGTCTGTTCATGTTTACTCCAAGGAAGAGGTTGAGCAAAGGTAGCAGGACTTAATGCAGAAAGACTAGTGCCTGTATGTACCAGAAATTCATGAGGTTACCATATACAGTGGGTAGAACTGTGTCCCTGAAAAGGTATGTTCAAGTCCTTACCCCAGAATCTGTGAATTTGACCTTATTTGAAAATAGGGTCTTCGTACATGCAATCAAGTTAAATGAGATCATACTAGATAAGGGCAGGCCCTAATCCAAAGACAGGTGTTCTCAGAAAAAGAGGGAAATTTGGAAACAGGGAAGACACAGAGGAGAATACCACGTGAAGATGGAGGTAGAGATTGGAGTGATGCATCTATAAGCCAAAGAATACTAAGAATTGTTGACAACAACGAGATGCTAGAAGAGGCAAGGAAGGATCCTCCCACAGAGCCTTTGGAGGGAGTATTGGCCCTCTTGAATCCTTGATAAATTTCTGTAGTTTTATGCCACCCAGTTTGTGGTAATTTGTTACAGGAGACCTAGGAAACTACCATACCATCTATATTTATAGTTACTTCATCTTTGTATTTAAAGGTGTGGCAGGATATTGGGTGCTTTTTCTTCCTTGGAACATTCTCATTAATCTGACTTGAGGGATTCTTCTTTGTCTCTTAAAATGGGACAAATTTTTCCCCAGTGTATTTTCTGTTTATAATACTTACAAGGGTCCTTGTCAGTAGATGGTTGGTTGTGGAATAAGCCATGTCACTGCTAATCTGCAGGACCACAAGTATTTTTGTTTGCGTTTTTTTTACTAGTTTTTTTTTTTTTTTAATTACAGTTTACATTCAATATTATATTAGTTTCAGGTACATACCATAGTGGTTAGACATTTCTGTAACTTATGAATTGATCGCCCCAATAAGTCTAGTACACACCTGGCACCATACATACTTATTATAATATTATTGATTATATTCACTATGCTGTACTTCACTATCCTGTGACTATTTTGTAACTGCCAAGTTGTACTTCTTAATTCCTTCACGCTTTTCACCCAGCCTCCAAACCCCCACCCATCTGGCAAAGTCCTCCAGTAGATTATTTGAGCATTAGATCACATAATTCTTTCAGCTGTATTACACAGCAACAGATTTTCTACAAGCCTGGGAAGGTTTAGAGTCGACATAAAAACACAAACATTTTAATGTTTATTTGCAGAGTAAATAATTACAAACCTTTTATAAATTTGCAAACATACATGGTTTCATACCACAGTTAGTTGTGTGAGCTCTTCCCTGTTTCTTTCTGAACTAAGAATTCTCTTTTGTTTTCATTTAAAAATTTTTCAATTACAATTGATGTTCTATATTATTTTATGTTAGTTTCCAGTGTAGAGCAAATGGTTAGACATTTATATAATTTGCAAAGTGATTCCCCTAATTAGTCTACTACCCACCTGGCACTATACATAGTTATTACAATATTATTGACTATAATCCCTATGTTGTACTTTATATCCCCTTGACTATTTTGTAACTACCAATTTGTACTTCTTAGTCCCTTCACCATCCTCCCAATCTCCTTCCCATCCAGCAACCATCAGGTTGTTCTCTATATTTATGAGTCTGTTCCTGTTTTGTTTATTTTGTTCTTTAAATTGCAAATATGTGCAATATCATATGAAATTTGTCTTTCTCTGTCTGACTTATTTCACTCAATGAAATACCCGACAGGCCCATCCACGTTGTTGCACATGGTTAAGATTTCATTCTTTTTTATGGCTGAGTGATATTCCATTGTATACATGTACCACATCTTCTTTATCCAACTGTCAGCTGACAGGCACTTAGGCTGCTTCCATATCTTGGCTATTGTAAATAGTGTTGCAATAAACGTAGGGGTGCATACATCTTTTCAAATCAGTGTTAATAAATTTCTTCAGATAAATATCCAGAAGTGGAATTGCTGGGACATATGGTAGTTCTATTTTTAATTTTTTGAGGAACCTCAATACAGTTTTCCATAATGGCTGCACCAATTTCCATTCCCACCACCAAGGTATAAGGCTTCCCTTTTTTCCATATACTTGCCAGCATTTATCTCTTGTCTTTCTGACAATAGCCATTCTAATAGTTGTGAGGTTGTATTTACTGTGGTTTTGATTTGCATATCTCTGATCATTAGTGATATTGAGCATCTTTTCATATACTTATTTGCAGTGTGTCTGTATGTGTTCTTTGGAAAAATGTCTATTCAGATCCTCTGCCCATTTTTTCATCATGTTTACTTTTTATTACCCCCACTCATCTCTCTTTCTCAGTTCATATTCCAGTTCCATGAATCTCTACTTTTCATTATTTTGTGGTTAGTTTTTGTTTTGTTGATGGTTTCCTTTGCTGTGAAAACTTTTTAGTTGGATGTAGTCCCATTTGTTTATCTCTTTTGATTTCCTTGCCCAAGGCGACATATCAGAAAAAAATATTAAGAGCAATGTCAGACAGTTTACTGCCTATGTTTTCTTCTAGGAGTTTTATGGTTTCTGGTCTTACATTATAGTCTTTAATGCAATTTTCAGTTTATTCTAGTATATGGTGTAAGAAGATGCTCAGGGTGGGACAAAGTGCCATGAGAAGTCTCTGGAATAAGCAGCTGAATGGAGGGGATGTCAGGGAGGCGCTTTCTTTTTCCTTTATGGAACTCATACAATGTGAGACCAAGGAGTCATTTCCCAGAATGTCTACCTCGACTCCCTCATTTCACGTGTAAGGAGACTCAGGTGCAAAGGAGAGGGATAACTAGACTAAAGATCACTGGCAGCCCAGGGCTCCCTTACTGGGGTCTCACAAGCAGCTGCAGCTCAGGGAGGATGCTGAGATACCTCTGGCGATTAGCCAGCCAGTCCTTAGCTCAGTGCCCACGCAGGCACTCATCTCTCTTTCAGGTTCCCAGAACAGGGCTCTGGGGCAGGACAGTGACACATCCTCGATGAAGCACGCCCTCCTGCACAGCCAGCAATCCGGCCCTCTGAGATAGAGTGGCCATGGGCGGGGCTGTAGGGCTGGGGCGGGACGGAGGCGGAGCTGCGGAGCGGGCGCGCTGCACAACTGCGGCCTCATTTCCTCACTCACGCCGGAAGTGGCCGGCGTCCGCATGCCGGTGGCCCGGGCGGGTGGGCGGCGAGGTGGCATAGCCTCCGGTGGCAGGGCGCCTCTCGGGTGTGTCCGGCTGGAGAGGCGGCTGCTTCTGTGCGCAGACTGGCGAGTGCGGTAAGTACCCGGTCTACCCGTCCTCGCCCGCCTGCGGCTCCGACGACTCGAGCTCGGGCGCGGCTCGGGGACCGTGAATCCCTGTCCGGGTCGGGTCACTTCACCTACGAGCCCTCAGGGGAGCCTGTCCCGTAGGATCGCCTCACGAACTAGCTCTCCGAAGTCTTCTCTGGTGTCAGGAAAAGCCACGGTTTTTCTGAGCGGTTTGAGTTTTGTTTTGAGAACCGTGCTGCCGGAGATGTTGGTTTGCTTGTGTTTTATTTTTGTACATTTTTTTAAACCAAAAATTTCTGCTCGCCACGATATCTGCTCCTTTCAGTGGGTAAACTTTGTTCCTTCTTTATTACGTTAAAATAGTATTCTCTAACAGTAGCCCCTGTCTCTGGCAGGCGCCTTTAAAGACGCACATTTGTATAGGAATTAGCGGGGCCGAGGAGACTTCGAGAAGAGAAGCCTCTTGCATTTTTATAATTCATCTTGAAAATTGCATTATTCTTGAGCAACTTGCTGAGGACTAATTTGTAAACACAATAGTGAAGCTTTTATTTCTGATGATGTTATTGACAGAATGAAAATTTGATTATAAATCTTAAGTTTTTTTCCTTCAGCCTGCTCTTGAGACTTAACATGTGATGCCTGGATCTTAGGAGCTGGGTCTTTATTTCTGGTGAAATTAATGTTTTTTCATGCTATATTAAAATAGTATTTTCGAAATTGGAAGTGGGAAACCCAGTATTTTATGACTGAGAAATGTTAACATTTTGTATTATTTTGATACCATGCGTTTGAAATTGTCATGTGACTAAACGAATGTAAAAAAAGATGTTGAATTTCCAATTTATGGCTCAGATAACTTGGACATAAATAAGCACAGTTTTAGTTCCAGCCAGTTTGGAAATTACATTTATTTCTTAACTTTTTTATAGTGGTATATACCTTCATGAGGTATATATGAAGTCAAATAGCACATAAATCTTAACTGTACAGCTCAATGAATTTTTATATATTAACTTGTGTAACCACCATCTAGATCAAGTTGTAACTATAGAACATTTCTGTCATCCCAGGTGTTTCCCTCTGCTTCTTCCAAGTCAATTATGCCTCTGTCCCCTAATCACTATCCAGATTTCTGTCTTCATCTATTCGTTTTGTCTATTTTGGGCTTCATATTAATGGAATTATACAGTATGCTCAGCACATTGTGAGATTCACCCATGATATTTTGTGTAACAGTTCATTCTTTTTATCAATGTTAAATATTCCTTTGTATGATTATATGACTACATTTCTGTTGATGAATATTTGTGTTTCCAAAGTATGGCAAATTTTTGTGTATTATGTGTTTTAAAGAATACTATGAACATTTTTGTAAGTGTGTTAGTGAACATCTGTATGAATTTCTGCGCGCTATGGAATGGCTGAATCATAAGGTAGGTGGAAAATTACATTTTAACCAACGTGAAGCCTTCTTTTTAAAGAGTAGAAATTGTTATTTTAACATATAACATTAAAGATTGGTAAAAGACATAACTTATGATTTCAAGACTTAAGGACTCATTACCATATTATTGTTTTTTACTCCTTGGATTACACAACTGTGATAATCTACCAGACTGTTACTACTTCTTTAACTGTCTGTTGGACAAGTCTATCAGAGCTGGTGATAATCAGTCCCTGAAGCTCGTTGTGTAACACTTAGGTAAGAACTGTGTTATTCAAGTTAGTGGTTGTTAGGGGAAATGAAACACCTAAAGTATATGACTAAAAATAGATTGAAGAATCTGGAATTGCAAATCAAAGAACTTACAGTTATTGTCGTATTACACAAGTACTGGGTATAAATGTACAATTGAATTATAGGGTTAGTTACAAATGTGAATTTACTACAGGAGTACAGTTATAATAGGAACAGACAACAGAAATCACTAAGCATTTGTGGGAAATCAATAAGATGTAAGAGATGGCTCAGACTGAACAAATCAAGAACTAAACCTGAAGCAATGGAGTTAATGTAAGAAACAGAAGAAAATTTTAAAATTAGTAGTAGTATGCTTAGAGTTAGGAAAGTATCATGCCATTTAAATATAGACTGTCTTGAAAATAAGCAATCAGTTCCTGAATATTAAAACATAGAAAATAGGAAAAATTAGCCATGGCATGGAAAATAGATCCCAAAGAACCATTTACATCTAATAGGAGTTCCGGAAGGGAATAGAAACTGGAAGAAGAGAAATAACCAGAGAGAACAGAGATCATGAGAGTAGGAGTATAACAGACAGAGTCTTAGGCAGCCGAAGCCAAACAGAAAGATATATCAGGAGACAAAGTACGGCAAATATAAATCAAACCTTCTTTCCCTGGCCTCTGTTTCTTCACTTGCGTAATAGGGATGATCAGGAAGTATACCTTTTCAGAGCGCTTATGGGAAGATGTGGCACAGTTTCAGGGGTTCTGGCTGTGCTAACAGCTCCTTTTCCCCATTCTGCTCTGCTTGCAAGTTGCAGTAGATGCCAGATTTCCCATTTCTACCTTACAGTGGAATGAAACCAGAATACCATGAAAGGAACGAAGGAAGAAAATAGTGAATTTTTTCTAGGTAGATGTATCTGACTTTATGAATGGAAAAAAATATACCAAGAATATTAAAAGAAGATTGATAGACACACCTAGATACATTCTGATGAAAGTTGTGATATATTTATCTTTGTGGATAAATATACAGTCTCATAGCTTCCAGAGAGCAGCATACGGTACCTATATAGACTTGCAATTAGACTTCTTTTTTTTCCCAGCTATATTGTATTTTATTTTTTTGTATTTATTTATATTTAACATTTTATTTTATTTGTTCCCCCTCCCCCTTCCCTCTCCTCTGGTAACCACTAGTCCATTGTTCATGTCCATGAGTCTCTGTTTGTCCTGTTCATTTGTTGCTTTTAGGTTTATAACCCACATATAAGTGATGTGATTTTCAACCTTTATAACCCACATATAAGTCATGTGATTTTCAACCTTTTCTGTCTGCCTTATTTTGCTTAGTATGATTATGTCAAGGTCCATCCATTTTGTTGCAAAAGGCAATATTTCATCTCTTCTTAGGACTAAGTGATATTCCATTGTATATATGTACCACAGCTGCTTTAGCCAGTCATTTGTTGTAGGACACTTCGGTTACTTCCATGTCCTGGCCACTGTGAATAATGCTACTATGAACATTGGTGCACAGATATCTTTTCGGATATGAGTTTTCAAGTCTTCGGGGTAAATAACCAGTAGAGGGATTGCTGGATCATATGGTAGATCAATTCTTAGTTTTTTGAGGAACCTCCATACTGTTTTCCATAGTGGCTGTACCAATTTGCAATCCTACCAACAGTGCAAGAGGGTTCCCTTTCTCCACATTCTCTCCAACATGTG